CGTTCTACTTTTGACGCCTCGACGGAGGCGTAAGCCAATCGAATCATATGCCAGTACAAGCTCTAGCCAATCAAACCGCGTGCTTGTGTGTCTGGGGCGGGAGGTTCATGTGATTGGTTGTTGGTCGAGTTTCAGCCCCCCCCGCCGGCAAGTGACAACGCACGCCGCCGTGTGTGGGGGCCGTAACTCTCCTTACCAGCAGGCGGCGGTAGTGTGTATTCGTCATTCAAAAGAGGCAACAACCGGAAGACAGACTGGGTGATACAAAACTAAACTCTTGCGTCCAGCTGATGAAAATAAAAAACAATAGCCGTCTGTGTGTGCCTTCTTAATCGTTTGTTTGGGTCCCTCACTTCCGTTTCGCTTCTCATGCACTGATTCGCTAGCTGAACAGCCAATCAGAGTAATTTATTTGACCAACAGCCTTTGTTAGATGGTTTTCGGCCAAAAAGAAGTCGGCACGGCCGAAAAGACAAGACGTTGACACACCAATCTGAGTAGGGCGACACGACGCTCATCGACAGCCAGACATCTATCGGCGGCCGAAATCGGCCTGGTGTGTCTGGGCCTTAACTGGGTGACACATCTGCCAAGTCCAGGAATATTACTGTGTGATGATATCAGTATATCCAGATTTGTATTTGTTTGTCATTTAATTATTACACATTATACAGTATGCTAACATATGCATACTAACATGTGCATCCCACTTTGCCCAACCCCTGGGACACTGGCCAATACAACCAATATTTTTTTTTACAAATGTATATAAACATCTGCAACCCACCCACCCCACCCCCTGGGAAACTGACCAACACACCTAGATTTCTATTTTTCAAAATAATAATAAAAAATATTACTGGAAATAAATGTTAAGTAAATGATTTAAAACAATGAAGTGATAACATACTAATATATAATTTATGGATAAAGTGAAAGATTCTACAGCAATTCCACAAAGTTATGGTTATTAGTTACAGGCACTAAGTTATATATCTTGCAGTGTCGACATTATTATAGTAGTCCAGAAATGATTTCCATACTTATTGGAATTTATTCACCGAGCCCTAAGAGGTAGGACACTGAGCTTTTCTAACTTTGTATGAACCATTACCTTCTCTACCCAGCGGCTATGCATAATTTCCAATTATATATTATGAGACATTTAGCTAAAAGCGACGAAGAACACACAGCCTGGGCCGGGGTTCGAGAAAGATTCAGATTTGTTGATTATATTTTTTATTATTAAAGCTGAATCTTATAGTAACTAAAGTTATTAAATAAATGTAATGTATTTCTCTATGAGATAGTGGAGAAGTATAAGGTAGCAGTTAATGGAAAGAAAAGTGTTGAAAAGAGATTCAAATGAGGACAGCAGAACTTTTCCTTTGTAGACTTAAAACCCATCTGTTTCAATTCACCATGGAAAATTAAAAGATTAGTTAAAAAAATGAAATTCAAAAGTATGTATTTGAAAAGGTTTAGATTATTTCCAGCTGCACCTCGGCAATAAACCAAATAAAGTTGTATTTAGCATGAGTACATGCACTTAATTACTGTCCACCACTGCTCGGCCCCGGACTCACCTTGTTCGCAATTCCCCGCTTTTGTAACTCAGAAACAAATAACTCTCCCTGGTTTATTTCCTGGAAAACATGAAATTAAGCTTGTTAGCAAAATGGTGCTATAAAGTCACTTCAGCTCCCTTCATGTGCTGCACTCCAAAGCCTCGTTGCCATAGCTACATGAAGGACTATAAGGAATTATGTCCTTTTGACGTGAGTACACTCATATGGGGCTCAGCAGGACCTTGGCTCCTTTGCAGCCTTGGGGCCTAAAAATACCACAGAGTGACTGTATTGCTTACATTACTGCTCACCTTGGGGGGAGACTGCTTTGTGCACAATTACAACGTCTACTAATGAGGTAAACACGATTAGCATTACCGTCGCTCCGGCTTTGAATGTCCACATGCTAACAGCAGCACTTAACCACACAGAAAGAGAGCCAAGTGAATCCCCATATTGGCCCCTGGAAGATGTCGAAGCCTCTTTTTCTACTCGCTGTGCCTCCACATGAGGTCCTTACAGTGTGGTATATAGGCGATGTGATAACCCGTTTTCCATACTAACTGTAAAGGTCAGTGCCTGCGTTCAATAGAGCAGGTAACCTCTTATTCTTGAAGAGGAACCAGAATGCTATACACATGATGCCAATTACCTCAGTTACATTATATGCCTCCACTATTATCTGCAGGATGTTGTGGGGGTTGCAAAAAGTGCACAATTTTTGGAAGATGTTTCCTATGCCCTGCAGCAAAGCCACAACACAGATGAATGAATGTGAGCTCATTGACAATCTGCCAGCTGATTTACTATGCTACTCTTTCTAGCATCCACGACTAAACGCAGTGTCAAAGCATGAATGCTTCAATTGGAGACAGTCAGAATTCCCCCGCTCTGATGGATGGAGCCATGGAGGTAGTAAAGGGAAAATTGGCTGAACAACGCAAATGTTTCCACTGTTGATTGACCTTCACAGGATATATGAATACCAAAGCAAAATTCCCAAGATATTAGGCCAATGCAAAGCCCCTGCATTCTCTCAAAAACATCCAGCAGGGGGCGACTATAATGGTTGCAAAAAGAAGTCAGATAATGTAGAAGTCTACGAAAAAATGTGCCTACTACTTTATTTATAATCTTCTCAATCGCTAGTTTCATGTTTTCTTCAATACAGCATGATGATCATTGTGTAAATTATGTTCCCATTTAGAGTGAAATAGACAATGAAGCAGTGTATGCTTCAAGGCATATTACGCTATTTCAAGTTCAGCAACAAATTTGCAGAGTTTACAGCATTCACACACATTTTCAGCAGGAAATACATTTTCTAGTTTAATTATGTTTTTCTTTTTTTTTAACACTGTTACACTACACCCACTGTTATTGTTTTTTCATCTTCACTGGACTAGTAAGTTATACATGTTATCATCTTATTCAAAGCTACTTATCAGTTCCAAAGATATACGAAAAAAAAATGGATGAATAATGAATGACTACAGATAGTCCCTGCTGTACCTCATGCATTTGTGACAGTTCTTTCCTGACAGTGAAGACGATCTGGATGTTCCTCTGTCTCAATGATTTAGCGATGTGAGCCCCCAAATGATAATCCTGATAGAGTAGGAGCCATGAAAGATGCAAAACATGATGCATAACACTCAGACAAGAATATATACTGTAATCAGGAGTTAGGCCTGCTCTCCTTCTTCCCTCTCTCCCTGTCCTCCCCATCAAACAACTCTTTCTATCGTTCATTTCATTCACTCTCCCTGACAGACTTTCCATTTCCTGCAAATAGATAAATAAGTACCATTCAAGAGAGATGTGCTGTATCGCGCGCATCCATTTTCAGCCTTGGGTGGTCATTTATCCAGACAGAAAGATATTAATAAGTAACGTATCTATATTTACTCCACCTGTCAACAGCCTGGACTGCAATGAGGTCAAGAAACAAAACACTACTTAATAGAGAGGTAATGAGTCCCAAAACCCAGGAATGAGTCAGCATTTTACCGCTTCGGGTACCTCGTTTCGGAGTCAATGTTAAGAGACTTTCACAATTTGATCTACGACATGAAGTAAATACTTCACTGTTGAATGTATGAAGCCTCATGTATCATAGATAAATGGTTGATTACAAGCAAGAAGTGTTTAAATAAGACAACTAATGGTGATCACGTCGAACATTAGCTGCTTTTAGCTTAGCGGTGGTGGCGTGAAGTCGTGTGACTGATATGTTGATCCCAGCGCCATATAGAGAGGGTTGATCCCTTATAGAGTGGCGAAGTCACGCCCATCTACTTCCGGTCCATGGGACCTTATTTCGGAAAAATTATGTATTGAAGTCAATGGAGAGAGAAAACTTATCTTTCGATCCCGTTTGAATTGTGCCATGAATTACACATAAGATGTTTGTCAATCTTAAAAAAATATTTCCATGTCAAAAAAGTCACAGTTTGTCGAAAAACTGTTGAAATATAAGACTATGAAAAATACGCAAGAAAGACTCAGAAATCCCAGAGTCGCGTAAGTGATGTCATAATTGTTTTCCTCCACCAAGAGATAGCTAAGATCAGCGCCATATAGATATAATCTATCTATATGGCGCTGGCTAAGATAAGATAACTTTAACAATAATATTATGCCTGTGTGTTTAGTACCAGGTTTTTATCATACCAGCAATGGGTCTTGCTCGTTCTTTCGCTTCCCGTCTGATGAAAGGACCAGGGGTGGCTGGATCAAGTTAGCTACCTAGCTAGTAGCTAGCACGTTAGTTAGCATTACAGCCTTGTCATTTTTATCAGCCTTAATATGAAGTAACATTAAGTAACCCAAAATGTTAAACAGTAAGAGTAGTCATATTTCGTGAACCCTTTGAAGAGTACTGTCACCGGTGTGATAATTCTATAATACACAATTTAAGCCCGGGGGAGAAATGCTAACGCTAGCATCGGCGATCGCCGATCTTTTCTACTTCATGCTTTCTGCACAAATGGTTGACATTAAACATTAAAAAGACCAGGCAGTTCAGAGGGAATCAAAGGAAGGTAGGCAGGCAACTTTGCATGACATTCTTCTGGACTTGTTTCATTGTGGTGATAGTGAGGGTTGTAGTAGTGATCACTCATTAACACACTGACACATAATTCACACATGGAACTCAACTACAGTTGGGGGTGTTGTTTTCGCACGGACATGTATGTGGTTTACTATATATATTGTGTGCCCTCCTGGCTTCTTTCTATTTTCTTCCCGGACTGCAACCGGACAACATGACCTTTGCTGCTCCTAAATAAAGTACCCTTTTGCACCTTCGATGCACCGCCTCCGACTCCAATCTCTCGGCACTACACTGGTGACCTTGACGTAAGTCTCGCTGAAGTTTCCGGGACTGGACTGAACATGGCTATAGAGGCCGTTTTTCGCAAACTGCAGGAGAATTTTTGGAGACGTCCGTGGGCTGCCACGTGGCACACGGACTGAGGCTCGGTGCGCCCACCCGTGGAATGCTGAAGGACGTCGCTCGCCATTCCCGCATCGTCTCGGCGCACCTGGAAGACAGCAAGCCTTTCCGACTACACAGAGACGATACATACGATCTGCTAGAGTGGAGCCTGACATAGTTCTACCTCTTGGGGCTGTTATATTCGGGACGTGCGGGTGCTTGTGTCATACAGAGTGAGATAATCTGACACCGTAGTGTTTGTGACGCTTGAGTTCCGACAAATGACATGTACTCCTGTTTTTTGTTTCTCTCAGTCTGGACGCAGATCAGATTACTGAGGTGCGGCCATTTACCTCGGCAGGAACTGGTCCACTGGTGACCCGGCATCGATCGCTCTGGCAGAGACACTGAGCAACCTGTGGAGTATACAATTTGAGTAATGTCTTATCACGACAGATAAGAGAAATACAATATTGTAATCACGACTGCAATCAATGCTATATATAGCCAATATCACCCAAGGGATTACATTTGTAGCTCAGTAGACTTCACAGTTTGAACAGAATATCAGTATGACAATACGACACCCTCTGTCCTTAGACAGGGGTGCCAGGCCCGGTTCTACGGGGGTGCATAAGGGGTGCATCGACACCCCAAGTGGAGTCGGTTATGCACCCTCATTTTGAAAAAAAGAAAAAGTGAAAAAAGAGAAAGTGAAGATATTACATGTACGCAATAACAATCATAATAATAGTACTCTAATAATAATTAATAATATAAGAAGAAGAAGAAGAGAAGAAGAAGAAGAAGAGAAGCAGAAGAAGAAGAAGGGAAGAGAAGAAGAAGAAGAAGAAAATATGTAGTTGAAAATAAAATAAATTGTAACCTTTGGATTAACGATAACATTGGTCTGCTGCATTGATTTGGTCAATTTAAACAGTAAGTAACGTTATTATTCAGCGTGGCGTGGACCTGTTGCCGGCTGCGCGTTCGTCATCTGCAAGGTGCTTACACAGCAGTCAGTGGATGGAACTCAGAAAGATGTTAAAAACAGAACCAGTCGCCCTTATCG